TATTTATAAATTTAGAGTAACAACGTAATTAAATCACCTCATTCTTATAGAAATAATCAATATTTTTGTATGTTTGTGACTATTTTATACGTAGCATAAAATTATAACAAGACTGTTTACTTCTAAGATTTGGTAAATGCAACCAATTTCTTCAAAGCCGCACAATGTTTTTAATTCTAAAAATTGGTACTCTTTTCTCATTCAGCTTAAATTAGCAATGACTTTTGTGCCACTCACCTTGTCATCTATTTTTGCTGTGCAACCCTGATTAATCTGTTTGGTATGTTTTCTGTACTCGTGCCTTTGCAACGAGGCAGTAGGGGAGAGTACACCACGTCAGCAGCAGTGTTAGTATAATAGAAGCAGTGGCAAAAACAAAGGCAGGTCACACAAGGGTGTGCGCTACTGTTTTAACGCAGGGGACTTTTTAATAACTCATATTTCAAAAGCAGATGCAAATCATCTGAGGAATACATGAGTCACTGTTTCCAATCACAGGAAATGTGACCACACTACGTCACCCGTTTAACCTTTTCCACCTTTTATCTCATTTTGAAAYATGATCACCGATGATTATTTTGTTCTTTTGATATCAAACTGTTTACCTGAAAACATAATGGTGAGTTTAAAGGTGTTTAGTTTCAAATCCAAACTTGAACCAAAGTTAGGAGTTAAACCTTTATAACCCTGAAGCACCAGCTCTTTCTGTGTCAGTGCTAACCAGCAGAGGGAGTATAAAGCTGCAGCTGGAAGYACACTCAAGCCTTTTAAAATATTTTTTTGTAAGGATGTCTCAGTCAAAACTCAGTTCTTGTACAAACTCTTCGTAGCAATTTAATATTTGACTGACATCACTCACCGCATGCTTGCTCCAATCAGACACTGTGAAAGCCTCAATGCATGAGAGCAAAGTGAGAGATTAAGCATGTATTCTATAGGCAAACTTTCCCATGTGTTTTCTGACTAGTGTGCTGTATGAACTTGTCTTTTCTGCAAACTGGTGGTTTTCACTGCTTTAAAAACAAAGTGTCAGTTCTGGACCCTTCTTCCTAAGTTCTGTAAATTCACCATGACTTGCAGAGTTCAGAGTGTTTTCTTCCTGAGTGCAGTTTGTGTTTAGGGGGTAGTTGTTCCCTCTGAGATTCCCAAAATTTTACCAGAGGTTTTATATCAACTCTAGAGCTTTAACAGATCAAATACTATTTCCTCCAATACCCCTTCTTCTCCTGCTTGTTGCGCCTTTAATGCAGTAAAATAAAACCTCTGGAATGAGACGCACATGTTTATCATGAAGACACTGATTACAGCTGTCTGTGAGTATGACAGGGTAAAGAAGACAAGTGTTTTCTTCCTCGGGGTGWTAACAGGTGTAAATGCACCTGCAGATGAGGAAAAATTCCTTCGCTGCGCTGCTTCTTGTAAAAAACAAACCGTGCAACCATCTCCACGCTTTCCATCGCAAACAGACCAAAGAGAAAAAAGAAAAAAAAATGTAGTGTTTTGTAAAAAC